AAGTTTACCACCAAGTTATAAACAGTCGATTCCAGGGAAGTACTCAGAACTGTGCCAGGCACAGAGTCAGCCTCAATGAATGGCAGCTATTGGTGTTATTACTGGCCGCAAAGCAAAGCAACAAAAAGGATAAACGGGTCATGAGATACCTGCTTGTAAATCTGGCCTTTCTGCAACTTGTGGATCTTATCCCAGAGTAAGACACCTTTTTCATTCATCTTTCGGAAAGGTCTAACAACAGAAATGGGAAACATTACAACATATGGAGTAGTATTGGCTGTCTGCTGTACGAAATACTACACAGTTACCCACTGATAACGGGAAGTAGCCTCCTCCACAAGCCTAAAAAACCACTAAAACCAAAACTCTACCACCACGTTCCCTGGCCTAGTACAATACACTCCAGCATCCAAAGATGTCTCCTGAAAAAAAGAATACCAGAGTTAAATAAATTTGAAAAAACACTATGCAGTATGCATGCTCCTATTTCAAAGTTACTCAGGGCTCTGAATAGCCCTTGCTGTAAAGAAACCTTCTGTCACCCAGATTTCTCAAACTTGTTTGAATGTGCAGAAGACCTCCAAGAAAAGCTTTCGGAAATACTACCTCAGTACTTTTATCCAGCTTTATACCTGACATTCAGCCACATCAGATGAAAAACAAATCAGAGGGCCAGGAGCACTATGTTATGATGTTAAAGGAGGGAAGAAGAGATAAGGCCTCATTCCTCACCTTGAGGGTCTGGGTTTGCCACAAGGTAGCAATAAGTGTTACCTTAAAAAAGAAGGTAATTTTTTTTACCTGATTTTTTTTCTGATTAGAAAACTATAAACTCACTGTAGAAAATCTGGAAGATGCAGAAAAATACAAGGAAGAAAAGGAAAGTGACCCATAATTCCAGTACCCAGGTATAAATACTTAACATTACGTGTCTTTCAATTTTTACATAAAATCTGTTATCTGTTATCTTTCTCTTTTCTATGAACATAAAATGAGGATCACTTTATGTATAGTGATTTATATTGTTTTTCTCTAATATTGTGAGGAATTTCCCAAGTGATTACGTATTTTTAAGTATATCTTTTACAGCAATAAAACATGCTCACTGCTTTTTTTCCAAAAACATCATTTTTCACGGCAGCATAATACCCCCTCGCATAGATGCTCTGAATTCAGCCAGTGATCTCCTACTGTCGGGCCTTTAGGTTGTTTCTGGCCTCTCATTATTATAAATAACATGGGGTGAATACAGATGGAGGATTATTCAGCTATTATTTTAGGCTTCCAGAACAAAGGCAAAATAGATGTGTGACTACCTCCTGCCACAAGGAGAAGAGTCCAGGACACTGCCCCTCCACTGTGCACAAACCTGACAAAGGAGACGAGAAAGAGGCCCTTCCCCTACCACAGCCCGGAATCTACTAAGAAAACGCTTGGGAGCATTTTATCAAGGACCCGGGGACCCCCATGCCCCACGCCTTCTTTCTCTGTCCTGATGGGGAGTGCCGTGACTGCTCTGTGACCCTGCCAGCTGCATGTTTTCCCCTGCAGGCTTGAACCCCAGCTGGGGCCTTAAACATTCCCAGGCACTGAGGAGGGTGTTTAGATTGTTGCCCTAAACACCAAAAGAAACTAGCCCCAACCCTGAGCCAAATTCCTTAAACCCTCATATAAACTCCACACCCTGGCCCCTTCACACCTAGGAAGAACATCCCTTTCTCTTGTTGTCTGCCCAAGGATACGCTGCAGGCCCCTTATAATAAGTTCGTTCCCCTAATAAATAATGTGGGCCGATCACCCTGGAGTTCAGCACTTCTTTCTTTGGAATCCCAACCGACCCCATCTTGGGACAGTATGGAGTTCCCTTGAGGAAACTCCCCCAGCCGCTGCTTTTGGGGTGACTCCAGCCACAGCTACAGCTGGATGAGACAGTGACAAAGCAGCAAGCCAGGACTTGTAGCTATTTTTGATCACACTCCAGCTTTTCCTTCATTCTCTTGAATCCCATCAAGTATTTTTCAGTCCCTGCACACAGTTTCTGAGTTTGCCTCTTCTTCCAGGAGTCACTGAGACACGTGGAAAACTGGAAATTAGCATCATAAGAGGAATTTAATGCGTTCAACACTAACTGCAGGGCACCACACTCTGGTGCTTTAAATCACCTAACAGAGGAAAAGGTTGCCTGGTTATCAACTACAGAATAGATAAATGTGGGTGAAAGTGTTTCAAAAATAGGCCATTATTATAGGAGTTATTTTTAGAAACCTAGTACACTAATTCTCAACACTATGGACATTTTAGGGGGAACAACTCTTGGTGAACAGGTCTGTCCTACACATTAAAAGATATTTTAGCATCCCTGCCTACACTCTCTAAATACTGTTTCCTGTTACAATTCCTGTTACAACCCAAAACTTCTCCAATTCCCCATTTCCCAAGGCTGTTGTGGCAGGAAGATATTATATAAGACATAACAGAGATTTTCTCCACTTGATGCAAAACCTGTGTTGCAGAGAAGCTTTGCAAAATCCAATTGCAATTTTTAATGCGCCAATTAGTGCTCTATTTAAAGAGATGCCCACCAGGTGGTTTGTTGTTGCTGTTGTTTTCTTATGCTTCACAATGCATCTGCACCTAAAGACCTAATTTACTAAGGGATATTAAGTTTGGATTTTGCATCACTGTCAACCATTTTCTTAAAGCCTGACTCATAGGTCTGAAGTGGCCCAACTTGAACTAAGAACCGTTTCAATGCATGCAAGCTGTCTGCTATGTACTCATCTCACCCTCCTTGCTAGAAAGGTTAAAAATCTAAAGCTATAATCTCAGATGCTTATGATGTTGCAACTGAATCTTGCATAGACACACTACATATGTATTCACAGCAGCAAAGGAATAAAATCTAGTCTCCTAGAAAGACAGTCACTCACCTCCGTTTGTCATTAAAGAAGTTTGGCTTCTCGGCCTGAACGATGACCACATCAAACAGGTCCCTCCAGTCTCTCCCAACAATATAACTCATCCCTTTGTCCCTAGGACAAAAAGTCAGCCAGGTCAGTCTAACATTAAGGGGATTAACTATTTTTGCATCTTTTTCTTTCCAATTTCCAACTGCTAAAATAAATGGAATACAAGAAACGAGCCCAAAGCTAGCAATGAAACACAAAACAACTTACACGAAGCTACTGGGGCTGTTGGTGATGAGAAACATCTTCTTGCCATGATCAGCCAGTTTGGCCAACACTGCACGGGTCTGCTCAGCGTAGCAGATGTACTTTTCTAAGAGCAAGAGAAAAATTCATACACAGATTCAGCAGGAAATCAGTTAATCTGCAAGCACCCACTAAATGGGGCATATGGGCCCAGCACTGTCCTAGGCACAGCAGGAGAATAAAAGTCATAAGAGAGCTTGGTTCAGGGCAGTATGTGGGTACCCAGTGCATCAGCAACAAAGACCCTGCCTCCTCCGTCTAACTGGAAAAAACTAAGTGGGCTGTCGCTGCCAGCTCCTCCTCTTTTGAGTCAGAACTATGTCAAGTTCTGGGACAAAGAGATGACGTCTGAGATGCCAGGATTGAAGGACCCTCCAGGGCTCTAAGAGAGGCACGCATGCCCTGCAGCACCTGGAAGGCAAAGTAAAATGCCTGCGTGGTGGCACAAAGGCTGAAACGATTTCCATGACACTCTTGAGCACATACCAATGTCTGCTTCGATTGCTCTGTACATAATTCCTTTGATGTGGACGTCTCGAATTGAATCCTGTTAAAAGATACATTTTCATCAGTAAAAGTGTAACTGAGATAGCCTGAGTAACAGTACAAGTGAAATGGCAGTCGTGACAACTTCTGTCTTTAGAAATCTGACAATCCGGGCACTCAACAAAATCTAAATTCTGGTTTAGTTATCATAGGTGGTCCCTCGGGCAAAGGGTAAGTTTCCATGGTGATAGTGGCAGTTTCCAATGCACTTTTCAAAAGGGTCACTTGGAAGAGGTCACTTGAGTGAACAATTCTGAGTAAAGTCCCAGAGGATAAACAGTAATTTATATGCAGTATTGTGAACAAATGATGCCAGTTCATCTGGACAGAGGGAGTGATTGCTCTTCTCCTCTTTGCACCAATCTCCATCCCTAGACCCCAAAAGTAGATTCTGTAACCTGGAATGAGAGGCAGCGACAAACAGATAACAGGTTCCTCCTTCTCTCTTTGGTATCACCAATAGGCAAGGAACTGTCCATCAGACTGTAGCTCAGACAGAGATGTGGTCCAACTGGCAGGCACAGAAATGGGGAGGAGAGGAGGAGGAGGAAGAGGAGGAGGAAGAACAGGTGGAAGGGGAGGTGATGATTAATCTTTTGTAGGCTCAGGGGTGTGGCAGCTTGATGCTTGGCAGGTATCAAGCAGAGTACCACTTCCAGGTGGCAGGGCACAGGGTCTCTCCAGGGAGGCACTCCTAGAGACACATGGAAACTGTCTAGAGCCAGTAGCAAGAGACTGGGCTGTAAGGAAAACTGTGCCTAAGCCTTAGACTATTGGTGGGAGATTTCTGTCAAGAGTGGGCACTTCTGGACTGTGATCTCAACCCCGATTACCTTTCAGCACAAGCCTGTTTCAATTTCACACCAGCAGCAGCAGGCAGTGGTTAAACGCAAGGTGGACTGCCTGGCTTAAAATCAAGACTCTGCTACTTACTAGCTGTGTGACCCCGGGCAAGTTACTCAACCTCTCTGTGCCTCAATTTCTTTTCTATAAAATGGGATGATAATAATAGTACGTACCTCAAGGCATTATTGTGACTAGTGAGTTAACATGCATGAACAGTGCCTGGGACCTAGTAAACTCTACATAAGTGTTGGTATTGGTGGTAGTAATACTTATAGTAAAAACTGAACTTCCAAATAAACATTTTGCCTCATAAATGCAAAGTGTTGCTACAAGTGATTCTTAAAGATTTTTAAAGAGGAAGTATCTGTGTAACAAAAAGAATAGAAGCCAAATATTTACATTTAGTTCAGATAATACCAGACTGATGTTGAAAAACTATAATTCATCCTTTATCTTCCTAAAACCCAGGATTTGG